GTGAAATAATTGTTCCATTCCTGCATTAGCTTGGTCTTTAGAGTCCTCATCTAATTCTTGCATTGGTTCATGGCTGGGATGGAGTACTTAATTGTGCAAGGTACTGATGTGATTTTAAGTGAATTATTACACAATTGATTAAGATTCCCTTCTTATCCCAGAATAGCATGTATTTAAAAAAAGTCTTTAGAAATTAGCTGATGACACAGAATGCAGCATTTGTTTTAAAAATCCTTATTATAAAGGTTACTATTTTTTTTCTTTGATAACTGTTTGGCATTACAAAATAGGCCATATTAGCAAAGCACATTACATATGTAGATCAACATATTTATATTATTACATAATGAATATAATAGTAAAATATATTTCCTCTAAATGGACACAAAATTGTTTTTAAAAAATCCTTATCTGGAAGAAGTATTTTGGTATATTATTTATTAGGACTATGCACACTTCAAAATTATAAAAAAGTGCTTCAAATCTCACAGGAGCACAGTACCTGTCTGCTGTTTGTTAAATAACTCCTCTTTGTTTGGGGCATTGGGGGACTTCTGTGCCAACCTGAAAAAGGTTACAGTTACTTTAAAAATCACATTAATGAGTAAACTCCTTAAAGCAGCTGCAGCTTTTTTGAGATTAGTGCAGAAGCTTGAATAAGATCAGCTGTTTTAGTAAATAACAAAGGTGCTATTCTTATTCAAGGTATAAAACACTTCTGAATCATTTTGAGTGCACATCCCTATAATTTAAGCATTCACAATTCAATCTTATAATGTCCTTGTTTTCTAAGAGGCTCTTGCCTGTATCAGTCATAGTACTGATTTAGAGAGTACCAAATAGGATTTAAGTCTTGCTTAATCTCCTAAATGTCATAGTGAGTTAAAAAGCAGTTTAGATGTTTCATTACACAAGAGTTCCTAAAAAACAGTATTTTTATCTGCTAGTGAAACCTACAAATCTGGGAACTACATTGAAAACTGGAATAATGTTCTCCATTATTGTTTAATGTAAAGTTTTTAGAAAAATAGTGGAAAAATCATCTTCAGATAACAGGCTAATGCAAATACTTGCAGTACTTAAAAATTACAGTAAACTTTGGTGATGTGAAATAGACTGTTGGTTTGCTTGCAGATCCTCAGATTACACCAAACTTAACGTTGCATGCAATTGTTTGCAATCCATGTTAAAACAAATTCATGATTTTAATTCACAAAATTGAGGAACTTATATTTTTTGCTTAGTCCCATTTTAGTGGTTATTGCCAGTAGCAAAATGTCTATTATAAAATATTTAAGGATTATAGTCTTACAGTTTCATTACATTTAATTTGTTAAATGGAAAGATATACCCCTGCAGTGAAGGAAGTTACATGGAAGTTAAATTCATGAAGAACATATTGTACACTTGAGAAAAAGGACTGCTGCATTGGAAGCCTTCTTGGATAAAGAACAGAATTATTTAAGAATAACATTTCATAAATAAATAAATAAATCTTCATAATGGACAAGGAAGTTAATACAGATTTTTAATGTTAGAAACATGAATATCTCTACAATAGAGGTAACAGTTAATAGGAGAGAGGGCTTGTTTATATAAAGTAGACAACCTTGTATGAGATACACCATCTTTTCAGGAAATTAAACAACATGTTGTTGGTACTCTCAATATGTATTATGCACTTTCAAATAACTTCTCTCTCTAGGAACTGGGAGAAGGGTTATTAGTTCATACTCAATTACTGCATTTGTCACATCACTACATGTTTTTTTTTTTGTAAATTAGACCCTGTGGGTTCTGCCTGGATTTGATCTACAGCTCCTTCTTCAGAGGGGGAAACTTACAACCTATATATTAATATATTGGGAGAGTGAGCAAAGAGATGAGGCCTTAGGATAAAAGATAAGAAATTGAACCTTGAATATATTAAATGAAGAGGATAAAGAGGAGGCAGCGGCAGTGGCTGCAGCAAAGTTGGAATATCTAGAGAAGCAGTTGGATAGAGGCAAAAGTTATAGGTACAAAAATAGAGCTGGATATCATCAGTATATGGGTAATACTGAAATCCATGGGGAAGTGTTGAAATTGCTTACTGATAAGATATATATAGAGAAAGCAAAGGGCAAGTGAGTAAAAAAACTTGGAAAAGAGCCAGTTAAGCCAGATTCACATAAGACATCAAGGAAATAAAGTGGGAAAAATATTAACTGTAAGAAGGAGTAGAGGATGAATGAATTAATCAGAAGGCTACTTTGTTCACCTGTAGACACGTCAAGCATGCTAAATGAAGATGGTGGGGAATAGGCAGGCAAAATTGGGAACTGACAAAATTTGGAAAGTCAGACATCACTATCAACAGGGGGGGGTTGAATGGGAGAGTAAGAGACACAAAAGAGAGTGGCACAATTACAGAGATGAAGCTATGATTCATTGAGGGCAAATAACATAGTGTGTATACAGTTATAGTTCAATCTCATATGCAGGTTCTCCAGGATCATTAACAATTAATAGACTTTTCCATATGGGAAGAGCCAGAGAGCAATCACATCCGAGCAGTCTTGTTATACTATACATACTATACATTATTAAGAATAGTTATATGAATTAATGTTTGGACTAAAAACCTGGTGGATTTGCTTTCCTCTTACCACCTTATTTTTTTAAAAAACATGTTTTTGTGTTTGTCATCTGTCTTGTTGGTACTGTGCAGATGGAAGAGATATTTGTAGCTTTGAAAATAGGAGCATGTAATTGGGAGAGAAAGTTGCTTATACAATATGATGTGTTTTAGAAGAGTTAATCCAGGAGCATTTGGATTGTTATATATTGACCTCTTAATGATAAATGATTGACAAGACACATCTAATTTCAGTTAGGTGTTTCTAATTTATATTACAATAGCATGTCTAAATCAAATATAATAGAAAACACTCAAGGTTTTTTATAATTGTTTGTTATTATTTTCTCATTTAGACATTGCAAATGGCTCTAGTGCAGGAGGATACCGTCCACCTCCCAGAACAAAAGAAGTAGTCATTAATGGACAGACAGTGAAATTAAAATATTGTTTCACCTGCAAGATTTTCCGTCCACCCCGTGCCTCACATTGCAGCCTTTGTGATAACTGTGTTGGTGAGTAAAAAATAAACCCATACCAGTCTAGATAGCTGTGGCAGAGAATTGATGCATTGCTGGTCATTATATTCATTGGGTATTTCTCGTGATGAAAGTACAGCTTTTCTGTTTTGTCAGACTGGCACATCCAAAGGTAAACTCTCAGTCTACTACACTTCTCTGTTTGTGCATCCCAGATTCTAACATGTAACTTCAGATTCGCTATTTGATCACCTCAAGCTTCCTTTCAGCTTGAAATGCAACTGCTGCTCTTTGGATTGATTCAGAATAAAATACCATGTCAAAACTTAAAATGTAAGAAATGTGTTAGTAACCTGGGACATATATTTTGCTAAACATAATGTACATTCCAATAAAACAGTATTTGCTTCAATGTGGAAGGTAACAGAGAAGGCATAATGCTTAATTATATAACTCAAAACATGGGTTTTTTTGACATGATAATGGCTTTGTGTTCCTATGATTAAAAAGGGTATGTGTCTGTACACACTCTTGGGTAAAAAAAATGGAAAAAAAAAACTGGTTGATTCCAAGTTACTTCATGTACATATCCAAAAATGCTGAAGTGGTTTGCCATTGCTTTCTTCTGGGACTTTTTTTTTTTAACTTCCCAGTCTAGCCAACAACCCTGGGTACTTGTCTATTCAAATATTAAGCAGACCTGACTGTTCAGCTTCCAAGCCTAAAAAAAGTTGGCCAGGTGATGCCACCTCCTGTAGGGGTACCTTAAGGCCCTGAACTCTGTAGCTGCCTTTTTGTAGATAATTGGTACAAAAATAGAGATACATATGAATTCATGAACAATTATATGTGGAAATTCATTTGAGGGGCAAAAATATAAATCCAGAATGATCAAGGTGAGTAGAATTAATTGCTTTTGCTACCATTATGTTTAATGCAAGGCAGGTATTCTGCCAACCAAGGCTGGTGCTTTCCATTAGTCCTAGCCAGAAAGTCCAGTGATGACGGATTATTCCAACTTGGAAGGCACCAAATTGTCTTTTTCTGATCTAGTTGCTAAAATAGGAGTTTAATTTATATTTCTAGATTTTCTGTGTTTTAGTAATAAAAGTGGAAAAAATGTAAGCACAATTGACATACAGATTGGCTATATAGTCTTAAATAGTCTTATTTCTTAGTACTGTGAAGTTTCTAAGACTTTTTCATACAATATACTAAGATATACAATATACTGGCTTGGTCAAAGCTGCCTATTCAGATATGTTAGTATGACTAGGTAAATGGAGATTTTTTTTGTCTACTAAACAATAAAAAGCAGTGTATTAATTGGTATAATGGGTGATCATGGAAGCAGGGATGGTTTACAAGGATAGGAAAGTATGGAGAGATACAGCAAATGGTGTTAGTGTAAATGAAAGTTATATTTCTTATCCTTTGTTATCTCAAAGCCTTTAATTTCTTCTGCTTACTGTTACTTATTCTTCTCTGCTTTGCATAACATTGCTTACTTCAGGCAGAAATAGTGTGATGGGTATGTACATTAAGTAAGTGTACAGTATTTGTTTTGTCCATCTAAAAGAAATAAACCAGGCCTATTAAGAACACTCTCCCATAAATGATGGCTTCATTATTTGGTTTTTGATGAATGGATGAAGCCAGAGCCTACAGTTAGCACATCATTTTTGGTAGAATGCTCCATGTAAATATATCCAGTACTAAGCCAGCCTTGATGTGGCATAGAAAGTGACTCCATTTTTCTCTACATCCCTCGAAAATAATTAACTAAGATTGATTATTCCAATTTTCATATACAGTTGCATTTTGTAAGTGTTTCAAATACAAAAAGGCACAGAATACTAAAGTCATACAAATAGGAATAAAAAACATATAAATGAAGAATGACCCCCAAATGGATGCAGTCATACATTAAAATCATAGGGCTTCAGAAAGAACCACAAGAAGGCATACTACCAATAGGCACAGATGTGAATCATCTTCATTGAATTGGCCAGGCTGTTGGTGTTCTACACAAAAGTCCTTGTGTCTTCTGTGGCAGAATATTCTCTAAATGGTTTTAAAGAATTTTTGTAAACAAAAGCCAGCTCTGTTCATCTACTCATCCAGTTAGAAGATTAGCCTAACTCCGCCTTCTAGATAGAGTTTTCAGAAAAAGGCTGTTTGTTTATTTATTAAATTTATATAGCCGCCCATCTCACCCATGGGATCCTCTGGCCTGATGAAAGGCCTTCTGGAAGGCCAATAGGGTTAGGGCCAATCTCACCTTGGCGAGGGTAATGTTGTTCCAAAGGGCAGGCGTCACTGCAAAAAAGGCTCTCCTCCTGGGTCCTGACAAATGAAACTCCTTGGCCGTTCCCAACCTTTAACCATCTAGCTAGGAGTATTCTGCTTTAACTAATACGACAGCTGCAGAATCAGCTCAAGGTGTTTCATTATTAAAAATGTCTACATTGCAAGAACTAAGAAACATGTTCCCAAGTTCCTTAGCAATACTATAGGAAATCTGGAGCAAAGCTGTTGGATTTGAGCAGTTGGCTAACATCTTAATAAAAAATTATCATTTTAATAAAGTTTAATTTGCTTATTTAAAATATTTATAGACCATTTCTCCAAATATTTAGTGTATTGTACAGGATGAAAATAATATAACAAAACAACAAACAGTAGTTATTGGAAACAGAATTTACTCAACCAAACAAATGCTTGCTAAAATCTGAAGGTGAAGTAAAAAACACTAGAGACAGACAGAAAGTTATTTCAAAGCTTATACAGTATAAGCACAGTAAGATCATTGCACATTCGAACCTACATTTATAGAACTACAACCATGAGATAAACATAAGATGTAACAAATCATGCCACACATTTATGAGAAACTTACATAATAAAGGATGTGCTGTGAGGGACTTAAGAAATCTATTTTTTTCCTAATTGAATTCCTTTTTCTTCTACGTTCTCTTTCAGAACGGTTTGATCATCATTGTCCCTGGGTAGGCAACTGTGTGGGGAAAAGAAACTACAGATTTTTTTATATGTTTATTTTATCTCTGTCATTTCTGACAGTTTTTATATTTGCATTCGTTATTACCCACATCATCCATCGTAAGTATGCTAGTAAAATCAGATTATGTATGTAGTCATTTCCTTGAGAATTAAATTTTAACTTTAATCTTGATCACTTGGGATATCACTCCCTGATAGGAACCCCCAATGTTATTCTTTTTGGCCTTCAACAGGATTTCCAGCTGTAAAAGCTTGCTTGTTAATTCAGAACCTTGTCAATTCTTTGTCAAATGCTTTTTTTTAATTATTATTATTATTATCATCATGTGTAGCCTTTTTGTAGAACAGTTTATTTATAAGTTAGGTTATATAAAAGAAGATTTGGCTATTATTGCCAGTTTTCCTGCAGGCTCTTTTCACTGGGTTGTAGACTTTCAGTAGAAATTCAGGTCCCTGACACCTCAGAGGAGCGATCTTAAAGATCTTAACACATTCTAGTTCAAGTATATAGTTAAGCAAGTAAACAGCCAGTATGGTGTAGTGGCTAGAGTATTGGACTGGAAGTGAAGAGACTCAGCTTTAGGTTCCCACTTGATCATGGAGGTTATTGGGTGATCTTTTACCAAGCATAATCATTCAACCCAATCTATTTCACAGAACTGTTGTGAAGACAAAATAGGGGCTGCTCAATGTATACTGCTTGAGCATTTAAAGATAATAAATAAATAACTAAATAAATAACACAAGTACTGACCTATTTGAAAATCATACAATATACTTATCTTACTAGAGGTAGAAGCAAGTAGAGTTTTGTTTGATGTTAGCATAATAGCTGATGTGATTTGCTTGTTTGGTAACATGAACTGATTTGATACTCTATTTTGGGAGCTGTAGGCAGTGCTACCATAAAGGGAAGAGGAGATATATGGTTGAATCTAGCCTCTCATTTCCCAAAATGCTGTCCTGAACAGTTCTTCAAAGGGCCCTCGACTCAGGAATGGCCAAGAGTCTTTTTTATTTCAGCAGAATACAAATCTAATGAATAAATAATACACTTGGGTCTTTGCATTAAACTGAAATCAATTGCTGGTTGCTCATATCTCCTAGTAGTATCTGCAAAGGAATTTGTAGAAAGCTCGGAATTTGGGTCAAACCGTAGTTAAAGATCTCCTGATCCAGCCAAAACATTTTTGTGTGTGTCAGAGAGAAAATAAATCACTAAGCACATTTTTATGGAAAAAAATGATCTTGAAATATTTTGTTTCCATATTAGGATGGAAAAAAGAGAGAAATCATGAATCTTATTTATATGTAACTAATGTCTGCAGACATTAATCTGGTGTTACTGAGAAACTATCCTGCATATACAATTCTGATTTTACTTTCTCTATTTTTTATTGAATAGTTTCATCAACATTTTAAGGCTTGGTTAAACAAATTATGTGTTGTAATTATTTGAAAATACAATTGTATGTTGGGTTTTGAGATACTTTCATTTATGCTTGTAGTTTCACTTCATTTGACATGTATTATCTTTACAGGAACTCAGAAAACAGGATTTTTAACTGCACTTAAAGACAGTCCTGCAAGATATCCTTTCACTGAAATACATTTACTCCACGCTATGTTGGAATAATTTTTAAAGAATATTTAGATATATTTTGGTTTGTTTTCTGCTGTTAGATAATGGTTTTTTTTAAATTAATGGATATGAAATCATTAAATTAAAACTGTATCTCCCTTCTGTGAGTTTATATGTAAACATATACAACAGCTTTACATGCAATATATGATGGCTTTCCCCAATGAGTTGCTATTTAAAGCAGTGGCACCTCAATTCCCCAAATCCCTAACTAGTATGACCAGTCTCTGCTGGCTCAGAATTATGCGAGCTGAAGTCCAGCACATCAGGAAGGCATCAGCTTGGGAAAAGCTGACCTATGAACTTTAATGACCAAAATATTTTGTGTTACAGTTTTAAACAGAGACAATGAAATGAGTTTTCAGCTTGTAGTTTCAGACTTATCCCTCAGCTTATGTAAGAATATCATAGATCACACATGAGAAAGGTTCTTTGTAGAGTAAAAATTCCTCACATAATTTGTGTTACGTACTAAAGTATCCAAAAGGAAACCTGATATAATACTTATAGATATTCTCAAAGAACGTACCAGCAAACCAGGAATAAAAAAGAAGAGAACCTCCTAAGAAGTAATGCCTATGCAATACTTTCTGACAGGGTTTACCTGACAATTGCTGTTTTCCCCCTACCCCAGTCAGTTCTGATAGGGTTGATTCTGCTACTCTGTTGGAATAGTGAAGATCAGTATGGAAAATGTATGTCATGCATAGATTTTCATTTTGGACCCTTGAAGCCCTGTGAATTCAGGAGAAATCCCATAGGCACACAAGCCACTTTCTTACAATGTGTACATTTTTTTAGCAATACATACGTTTGGGAACGCTAAGATAACAGATCTCCACAAAACAGCAAGCATCTAGGGCTACAGATCTTAATGGGAGATAGGAAGGTAGCAAACAAAAGTTTTTCAGCCACAACATGGCTAAAACATTACTTCATTAAGCACAAATTCTGAAGCATAAACATGTAAAGGGCCTCTGTTCAAACACTGTTTGTAAATAATGTAGCCTCCAATTAAAAGAATCACAGTTTTTTCTAATTATGTATTAAGCTTTTCAATTCCTTGAAAATGAAATAGCTTTTCATATGTTCTGAACAAAAAGGTTATTGATGCCAAATTTGTTGATTATTTTACAGGAACAATTAGCGATTCATTCATAATTTGCATTTAGGGGCTAGCAACTTAAGAAGGGGGAAGGGAGAGAGAGAGCGTGCCTGGTAGAAGAAATCTCTCCAATGTGTTGTGTTACACAATGTAGTGATTTCTTTCACTATTTCTCTCTCTCTCCCTTTCTCTTTTTCTCTGTTTTTAGATAGATAGATAGATAGATAGATAGATAGATAGATAGATAGATAGATAGATAGATAGATAGATAATTCCATCACTAATAATAGGGACTTGCTTATACCTTGCATAAGCAGAAAGATACACACAGTATTGGAAGAAATGATCCTGATTTCTATCACTTGTGCTTCTCCTCAACTCTTCAGAGTTGTATCAAAGGTAATTTTGGAGGATCTTTGATTCTAGAGAATAATTTGGGGAGGATTTAGCAGGAAGCTAGAGTATTTTATTTTGCATATAGTTTGTAGGATTGAGCCATATATTTTCAAATAATTAATGCTCAGCACATAAACTAAAATATATTTCTGAAGTTTAATAAACTTACTAGAATTCACAGTTTTGAAATGTTATTTGCACATTTCATTAAGTTTATTGCAACAAAATTATAATTGAGGAAAGAATAGCACTCCATGCTCACTAAAAGCAGAATTATATTAGAAATGTTGAAGATATAGTGGATTTGAAATCTCATCAAAGGAGAATTAAACTAAGAGTAATGGTATCATCTAATCTTCAGTAGCATGTATGGGCTCGTGTTTCTACTTCTTTTGATCTCCCGAGAATATTTATAGATTGTCTTGCTTCTCTGGTTTTGTGACAACATGCTCCTTATTTATTGCTGGTGTCAGCAAAACTGCTTTGCATTATAATCTAATGCCATTCAGTTCTTCATGCTTATTTGCAAAACATCCAGTTTTGTAAATGGATGGGGAGTAGATGTGTTTTGTTTCATGAGTTTGTCCATTTAACAAGCTTTTCATATTCAGATTCTTGGATAATCTGCACTGAATGTTGTCTGGTTTCACGTTTACATGTTATCGTAGCTGCATTTCTATGTAATATTTGAATAGCATAGCTTAATGGCAAGGATTGTTTATTTTGCCCTGGCTGCACCAAGTGTTATTTTGGCCAATAGGTGAATCCCAGTGGGAAATGCTAAAATGAAGCTGCTGATTATAAGAGGTAACCTCTCCATTGATAGGGGAAAAAAGGGGGAAAAAATATTCTTTGCCTGAAGAGTTTAACCCTTTTGTAAGGCCTAAACAGGACTTCTCTCTCTCTAATCAAATGTGTAGATTAATGGTTGATAGATTCTGATTAACTGGAAGTAAATGATTGGATTTCTGATACTTATGGTAGGGTGGGATGGCGAGAAATATATTTTCTTTTCAGACAGAGATAGGCAGCTTGTGGTTAAGAAATCTAACAATCACTTCCATCTGGTCCCCAGTACTGTGTGCATGAAGTTGAATTGTGAAGAACAGTGTAACTTACTATCAGCAGCTTCACCTCTTGTTCTTGGTGATTGTTAACTAACAAGAATATTGAATAGATAATAGTGGTGCACATAAGTGTTGTTGCCAGTACCTGGTGTACTATATTAATCATGTGGATACTTAAATGTGAGGTGTATTATTTAGTTGTCCTTAGAACTTTGGTTTTTGTGAAGAAAATACTAAAATACACAAGGCCTTTAGTATTTGTGGCACTCAGTCTTTCTAGAGTAACTATGTTTGCAACAGATGTCTGCTTGACAATCATACAGATAAAATGTATTAAATATATCTCAAAAAACTGAGTGACAAAATTTTTGGTCCTTATGCTCCAGTCCTGTTTGTTGTTCCTTTCCTATTCACCAAGAGATATTTATTTGTTCATTTCTCCAGCAAAAATTTTTTAAAATGCTGGGCAAACAGGATTTTTAAAGTTGCATCTAAATGCAGAACTAACACCAACTTTGTCTGTTGTAGAAAGGCATTTTGAAGTTGCAGCTCCAGTACAAAGAAGACTTACTTTTTTTTTCATGAATGACACTCTTCAGTGATTTGCAAAAATGGGACTTCGCCTCTGTTCTGCCATTTTACTGTGCCTTTTTGGTTTCACATTTCAAAGACCAGTTTTGTAGTTGTACTGTTATTATTTAGAAAATGCCATAAAGTAGAATACTAGAAGCAGAAAATTCAGTAATAAAGAAGCATATCAAAAGCCAAGGGGAAACACATTGAAGTTAAAGCCTTTATGGTATCAGATATTATCTCTGCTTTTAATTCATTTGTTTCACTTACCAGTTTTGTGTAGCTAAGAAGATATATTGGAAGTCAAGTCATATTAAAACAAGCTGTATTTATTTTCTCCCACATACCATCTGTTTAACTTTCATATAAGAGCAAAACAGATTAAATGGTAAAGTATATTGCATTAATCCAGTAAAAGGACTATTTCCTCTCTCTGGAAATAATTACATATGAACTGGAAGGGTCCTCCTACCTTGACTGCCAAGAATAGCAAATGTCAGTGAATGAGTAGATGTAAATGGCTGCAAACATCGCTGCTGGAAAGTGTAGATGTCTTTGAAGATTGCCTGAAACTACCCTTTGCCTGATGAGTTTAACCCTTTTGTAAGGGCTAAACAGGATTTCTCTCTCTTTCTCCTTTCTGCTTCAGTTACCTCTTGCCTTTGCTTCATCTTAACAGCAGCTTTGGCTCTCTCTCCTTTTTCCTTTACCATGGCAGCTACCTCTTTATTTCCCATTTCCTTCCTTCCTTCTATTAGAAGGCAAGATACAGAGGTATCCTCGGGATCCAGTACTTTCATCATAATTGCAGACACAGCATTGTGCCATTGTGGTACAGTCTACCCTCTTTGGTGCATGCATGTGATATGATACATACACATACATGCATAGCTACATAAACATACATACGTTCTTAAATTTATGTTTGTTTTCCTTTCAGGTACATTTGAAATTTAGCTGCATTCTGAAAAGATAGGAAAGAGTATTCTGTGTTTCAGTTTTCTTCTTGTGAACATTATCTGTTGAATATTAATAATTATCTTTTTAAAAATTCCAGGGCCTTTGCCAGACTCCGAGAAATTCAGAATAGAACATTCATTTAACCACCACTCCCATTCCTGTTTCTTCTTACTGCATCTTATACATGTATTTTTTCTGTTGTTTTTAGCCATTGAAGTGAATGGTCTTTTAAAAGTTATAGTAAGTTATGAAACATAATGGATAAACCTGTTTCCTAAGCTTTTTTTCATTCTTCTTTGTAAGAACTTTTATTATTTGTATAATGATGATAGGAGTAAGCACATTTTTACTGTGTCAGAATAGTTGCTTTCATTCTTTGAGAATACTATTTAAAATTGGCATTTCTTTTCTAAATAGTATGGAAAAGACAATGTGAGACTAGAATCCCTGTTGCATTTATAGAACTCCCTTTATCACTAAATTATAGCACAGTCTTAAGTCTTGTTGATGTTCTTTGTTCGTATTACAAATGAAGCTTTACAGCTACCTCATATAGTGAAACCTACCCTAACTAAATAACTCCCAAATAAGGAATGTTTTTGTCTGCTTTTTTAAATTGTCTGCAGAATTATTGGGCTTAAAACTGTTTACTTTAGAAAAACAGATTAAATGTTTTTATACAATTCTAATCTAACATTTCAGGCAAATATTGTGGAACTTCTCAAACACAGTGTGGTAGTAAGCATAGCATGTCTGTTGTTTCCAAGTACAATGGTGATCCTGAGTGATAATTTTGATTTGTAAGCAGGAATGTTCATTTAGTTGTTATTGCCAATAGCCTTTATCTTCATTGACTTTTCAGTTAATATTGCCTTGACGTTCAGTCACTGTCCTAGAAGCTGTGGTGTGTTTCTTCTCCGTTTGGTCCATTGTTGGGCTCTCAGGTTTTCATACTTATTTGATCAGCTCCAATCAAACAACAAATGAGGATGTAAGTCCCCTTCCCCTGCTCTAATTTGTCTCCATCTAATGGCTTTATGTATTTCATGTTCAGTGTCTGCATTTATCTATTTTTTTAAAAAATACTTTGTTGCAAGGTTCAGTCAAGTGTGCTGTCCCATTTTTGTCTATAAATGCATATGACTGCGTGTGATGGCTTCTTGGGAAGAAACAAAGCATGGTTGAGACACAGTTCTAAGATCATTGAATGTTAACTAAATGGAGTTTAGGTTAGAGGACCACAGTGACAGCACTAATATTTATAGTAGCCTTTCTCAACCTTCTTTACCCTGGAGGAACCCTTGAAATAATTTTTGGATCTCAGGGAACCCCTGCATAAAAATTGCAAAAATTGTGAAAACTTCACAATACAGTTAACTTCTAACTTACACAATCCACATTTTACAACATTTACTACAACAGCAAAGTGGCAGGCCAGTAGCTGAATCGTAGCACATAAAAAAAATCCCACTGTGAGCACTATTTTTTTCAGTCACAATATCTCACAGAATCCTAATTGAGAAAGGCTGTTTTAGAGAATGTGAGTAAGGTGCTGGATTGGCAAGAGAATGCTCACCTTCCCAAAGCCTAAGAAGATGGTCAAAGATGCCTTGGCAGTACATTGACTGACTAAAAAAAAAAGTGTAGTTGTTAGAAAGCTTCCTAATATTTAAAATATAGGTTAGAGTCTGTAAGCCAGATAAGTAATAATTATCATTATAATTATGTGGGGAACTTTGCAAGAAGATTTGAGGAGGTGTGAATTTAATGAAATACCCATTTTTGATAATTTGGGTTGGATTAGGATGGAGTTTACCAGATGATTTTGGGCCAGTCATGTCCCTCAACTATATTTAATTTTGAAGATTAAAAAATGGGGAAACAAGAGGTCCTTCTCTTATGTCTTGAGCCATACACTGAAGTGCATTGGATATATGAAATGTAGCACATTTGTAAGGAAGAAAAATGTGAAGTGGATCCATTACCATCTATTCTATTGTTGATGAGCACCAGATTGCATCAGATGTTTCTGGAATATCTCTTTGGGGAACAGGTGAGATTTTATGGATCAAGTGATATATTGAAATGAGGGAAACAGGTTCAAATTCAAGTCACAGAACTCATGGAGCCTTGTCATTATTTGATATAGTTTATTTTTGGTGTAGGTATTTTTTCTTAGAATAAATAACACTTATAAACTGAAGAGTGCTATTAAAAATGAAGAATAATGCACCAGTGTTCATTTCTTTCTAGATCAAGGGATCTTGGTCAAATAAAAGAAGCAAAGAAAACTTCAATCCTTATAGCTATGGCAACATTTTCACTAATTGTTGCTCTGCACTTTGTGGGCCCCTCTCTCCTAGGTAAGAGATATAATTGTTCAGTATCCCTTCTTTTTTATTGTACCTTTGTTATGCTAGTTGGGTGAAGTATGCATAACTTCCAGGAGCACATAAATTGCTATAGGTATCATATGACCTTTGCATCCTCTGGCAGTATGTAATTTTATGGTGTGCAACTAAAAAGACACTGGAAAAACTATTATCAATCTAGGCACCACTGATTAATTTGCTGCAGCAAAAACTAACTAAAGCTTTATGGAAAAAATGATCAGCTAGGATTTTTTGGTCATCCACAATAATTTGTTGGTTCTACTCTCCAGCTGTGAATGATTACAATTTAAAAATGCCTAGCAATACTTTTGAAAGCATAATATACTAAGCAGAAATTGTTAATTTGGTTTGGACATCTATTTTCAAAAGTACTTATCTTCAGTATCTACCACTAGTCAGTCATACAGCAAACTAAATCTAAACTACGAGAAAGTTGGAATTATTATTAATAACTTTGCTGGGACATGCAGTAGATGGATAGAATACATTTCATGTTGCCCTAGAATGATCATTTTATGTAAATTATGAGGGCAGACGTTTTGGAAATTCAAACAGTTTTTTCCTCGCATTGTTTTTACCTATTGACTACTTTTCATAAGATGCTACAAGGCATCAGTAAGGCAATAATAATAAAGAGCAAATTTGCAGAAAGATTATGTGCTTAACTGTACCATTTATAGGTTTTGTCAACTTAGAAATTCATTGCAATATACAATTCAGCCAGGAGTGCCTAAACTTTTGCATGGAACTGTAGTTTAAACTACTGTGTCTCAGCATTCTAAGAAGCTATTTACTCTTCTGAACTCAAATTACTTCCATAAATTTGTATGACTCCATGTTGTTATATGAAACTCTATTTGTTTTAAAGATGATTTTGTTACTATCTGATAAGAATTATTTGTAATTCAACTTTCTATTATTCTATAGTTTAATTGACCGAAGAGGATTTATACAGCCAGATACTCCACAGCCAGCAGCTCCCTCAAATGGCATTACAATGTATGGGGCCACACAGTCTCAGAGTAATATGGTAGGAACCATCCCATAATGTTGATCAAGAACTCTGAATGTTTCTCTTTTCTACTTTCCTGAGAACAAAGCAGGTCGCTAAACTATCTGAACCCTTCTAGTACTTTATGATTGAAGTCTTCCATGAATGTATCATACTATGACATCAAGATTTTAATAAGCATTAATGCAAAATTTAAAAATACAATAAGAGCACTAAGAAAAGATTAGTAATTTGAACTGAGACTGGGATGTGAATAGAGAACTGTCATGTATGTTGGAACCTTTGCCTGTCTTAATCCTATTTTTTGATGGTTGGATGTTCAGTAGCACGTTTGCTGCTTTTTAAATTGTTTTCCTCAAATGCCACTGGCTGTGCTGCATAAATTCTTGCCACCTGAAACTTTATATACAGCTCAGCATGTCACTATGAATATTTCAAGAGAACAGTTTGAATTTCTTGTGAACATTCTAAAAGCCACTGTATTTAACTACTGCAAAATTTTTAACTCATGTTTTTATAGAAATTGTGCCAATGTCTCTTTTTATGCCCTCCAGAGAAGAGTGCATTTTATGTGCGTGTGCCAAGGTATCAGGGTAGAGAAATTTATCAGCTGAGAATCCTAACTGGAGCTGCATTCTTCTGGTATATTAAAATAGTGTCAAACTCCTTGTATATTTTTGCTCCTTGGATTTTTTCTAGACCTCAAAAATATGTGAATCCCAAACTTTAAAAAATTTTCATTTAAGAAAAGTACAGTAATGGCACACCTTTTTTATAACTATGTGAATTCTCTTTGTGTTTTATATAACATTAATATATTTAAAAATGAGATTCCCTTGAGCATTGATTTGCTAAGGTGGGTTCATTGATCGTTTTTCATATCTGCCAGCAACACCAATTTGTTATATTTTAAATATCAAACATTTTATTGACTCTGGTACCAATAATATCTTTTATAGCATTATTACTAAATGTTTATAACATAGTTTTATATATGCTTATTTAACACAAAGACCCATTGAATTCACTGGGCTTACATCCAAGTAAGTGGATATAAGGGAAAAAGTATTTGCTTGCTATAAATGAATGGTTTTACTTTAATTCACCTTATGCTGATAACAATATTTCTTCCTCTATTTTGGTTGTTCTGTCATGGTAGCAATCACATATTTCCATTTTTTAGGCAGAAGCGTGTAGGCCAAACAAAACTAAGAAAATGTCAATAAATGTGTTATTTAAAATTGACTTCAGATGTCAACTTATTTTAGTATCCTTCATGCCATTTGTTTCTTGCTCTATTTTTACTTTTTGCCCTTCTTGGGTGTTCTAAAGAAATCTCACACATTCTTATAACCATGGTTCCCACATAGAAAATGAAGAAAGAATTTGAAATCACTCAGAAACCAGTTTCTTAGTTTAGTCCTTTGAAGTGGTCATTTGGGGTGTCTCTTCCCTCAGTTGTGGCACTGTTGCTGTTTTTTCTGATTTACATTTTCTATTCTCCACACCTGGTTTTAGCTTACTGGGCATTTTCCTTGTTATTCTTTCTTTGCATGCTTCTCAAATCCCCTTTCAGTACCAGCTATTTCAAGGGTACAGTATCAGATCAATCTTAATATGGCTGCATTATCACTGAATAATTTCATCATCTCCAACCTAACTTGATCAGTTGGCTAGAGTTTCCTGAAGTACATAGGTAATCTGTGATGAAATCCTATTTTTAATTTGTATTGTTTTTTGTGCTCCCCAAGATAGAAATGAAATTGACATTAAGACTTGCTTTTAAATGGTGTAGCATAATGTTGATCAGTTGCCATTTTTCAGCAAGTAAAATATTACATTTATTACTGGGATAAGTGATAGAATTATATGTTTCTGTGGTGATAGTTGTAAATTCAGATAAAGGCTTGGAAATTAAATCAGTATATGTTCTGATAAATTGCATGTGGTAAAACTAAGAGTTATAGCCTTTTGATTTCACTTGGGCAGTCATTTCTAAAGTTGCATGATGTTTCTCATAAAGTCAGTACTACCTAAACTCTTTAAAGACTTCAAAAGAGATTTTTAAATAGAAAGAAATCAGTTCAAACCTATATTACCCCAACATCCCAGTCAAGATTTTGCTTCTATGAAATTTAGGAGAAAAAGTAAGATTATGTATACAAGAAGTGAAAGGTTTATGCTTAAAGAAAAATGATAGAAATGTTTTAAAAGTGACAATTTCTAATAATGTTTTGACATAGGAGACCATATAGGAACCCATGTGGATTTTTAAAAATGCTTTCTATTAAATGAGATATTTTTATTTAAAAAAAACTATTTTTAAATATCTACATGAAAATAAGATCTGAATTAAATGCAAACTTATTAAACCTTAGATTTAAATGGTCACACATGGACATTTAATTAGGTTTCAGTAAGATCTGGCTTATATGATATAAAAATGACAGATATTTGTCATTGTGGGCTTCATAAAATCACAGATAAGTTGATACCAATATACCAATCCCTATTAAAATATGAAATATGCTGGGAAATTGCACAATAAAAGCTCAATCTGAAAGAATTCTTTGTAAGTGAATGTTTCATTTCTTTTATGCCTTTCAGCAAAGTTCTGCTTAGTTTCCCATTTTATTAAGATATTACCAGCCAAACATAATAGATAGTTACTTTATGTGTTATGTGTACATTGCCCTGTATTTCAGGTTCTTGCTTCTAAAAAATTCTGCTCGTTAACTCTGTGCATGTTTTCTAAATGAGTTTTCCTTTATTATATATGGTTATATCAAGGCTAAATAGGCATGGATTATAACCTAACTCTGGCTTTCTAGGGACAATTTCTAAGCACCAGTGAAGATCAGGCAATATTGAAAACAAGTCTGGATTAAATACTTTTGTTTAATTGTAAGGCAGTATGTTTTATTTGTTAAATATAAGTTGGCATGTATGCTTACTATATTCAGTGAAAAGATCAAAATAGAGAACTTGATTTAAAATAAGAGTGATTTTAAATCTGTCTTTAACATCATGATATTCATAAATATGTATTGTAACATTGTAATGTTAATTTATAATCTTAATATTTGTAAATCTGGGAACCAAATTCCACAAAGGGGTTCAATAATTTAACATGTTCCAGTGATGTCATGTGATGGTTTGATGATGATGATCATTTCAAACTGTATGTATGTTTAGATTATTACTTCATATTTTTGCTCTTTTACAGCCTGTCTACTTTCCAAATGATTTCAGTTCCTCTAAATTGGTTATTCATGCCACTTCATTCTCATTGTTCTCAGTGTCTAAATCTGTTGAAATGCTACAAATCTGATAAGCTCTTATTGCTTCTTTGCCACCTTTTAATGTTGAATAATAAAAACAAATGATCTCTATAGCAGCACTTTTAAGTTTCCCTTTCTATCTGAAATACTGACTTTGTCGCAATTAACCAGGCAACCCATCTAGCATTCAATATACAGGTAGTCCTCGCTTACTGACTGCCTTGTTTAGCAACCATTCAAAGTTACAATGGTTGAAAAAACAACAGCTTTGTGACCAATCCTCTCATTTATGACTGTCACAGCATCCCACAGTCACATGATCACCATTTGCATGCTTCACTACTGGCTTCCAACAAGCAAAATTAATGGAGAACACGAAAGTGAAATCATAAGTCACAGTCATGTGAGGTCTCACTGAATGACTGCAGAGATTTTGTGAAAATTTTATTTTATTTGTGAAATAAGGAACAAACCAGGAACATGAAATATTTTTATTGTCATCCGAACCATCTAGATAATTTTCATGTAAAAACTATAATAAAATCTGAAAAATTAGAACATCAAACCTTCATTAATATTACTTTAAATACCCATTGCTTCACTGCCAAAATGTTTAAAAATATTTGGGTTTTTATGCTTTTTTTCTCTCAATATTTCCATTATTTTAATAGGGGACTGAAGTTAGATTAACCAGGTGGTAATTGACAGGATCACCTTTTCCTTTTTGAAGGTTGGTAGTCTATTTTGCTTTTTCCCCCTTCTAGTATACCACTAGTACTCCATCACTTCTTTAACCAGTTCTTTTATGCCATAAAAATATACCATGAGAATCCACTCACTCACCGATAGTCATGTTTCCTAAACATTTTTTCATTAGTATTTGAGGCTGCAATCCACAGTCACCCAGTTGTTACATTATGAAGGCTATTCTTGATTCAGCATTATGGATTATGCCATCTCTTAATAATTGATTCACCTCTTTTTTATTACTTTTCAGGAAAACATTTCAGATATTTTAAAAATATTTGTTACTGCTGCATTTATATGTATTTTCTTTAAAAATTCCTGGGACTGGAATTACTTTAATACTAGGTAGTCCTAATAATGTCAGTACCTCATTCATCTGTTCTTTGATGTTTGTATTTTTCTTAAGCACCTTAGTCTTACAGAGCTCTTTCATCATTGTCTGTTTCAAATTTGGGATAGTTCTTCTACTTCATTTAAACCTCAGACAGATTCAGCTCAGAACCTTGTACTATGGTTTTGTTGTTCATAATTTCTGCGACCTAATTCTGTAGATACTCCAAAAAAGTTTTCAGAAAAAAAGATTTCAGAAAAACTGCCACCATCTACCACTGTGGTAAGCTTTCTTTTCAGCTGGCAAAATCTTACACATGCAGACAGCCAAATGCTATGACACACCAGAAAGTATCTATTGCAGTTTCCATAGATTACATCTCTGTTGCTGTAACGAAACTGTGGATAAACTGGATAGGCAGAATTTACAGGTTTAAAGCAATAGCTACCAAGATAAATTTAATGATTTTATGACTGGCTCCTAATTTTTTAAACATGATGAATAGAAAATATGTCTTATATTTGCATCAACAAGTGTAGTCCACAATGCAATCTTAACAGCCATTATTTCGGCAAACCTATTTACCATAGGGAATGAATGCGTTTTGCCATTTTATGAGCCCCCTTTGCCTCAAGATTTTTATAATCCTTTACATATTT